TACAAGCCTTTCAAATAATTATCAGTGACCCCCATGGACTTTTTTTGTTATGTAAACACTTATCTTGATAATTTGTACGGTTTATAATTAATTCAATTTCTTAACTGCCGATTAAAAGTTACGCGATTCATAAAATCTTTGCGGGCCCCGTCATTTTTACTCAATATGCCACCGTTTTCTCACATAGAACAAAATGCCAGAGCGTATTAACACTTGATGTTTTTTGTAGGGGCCGAGGACGCGACACACTGTCAAGATGTTTTTTAGGGGGAGGAGGACACACTTATTGCATTCCAAAGCCTTCGGAATAATTTTATGGATAGCACTGCACAGAAAAGATCGTGCTTGAAAAGACGTATATATACGTCCAAAAATTAACGTTTTTGGCTGAGCGAGACGTTTATATACGTCGGTGGCACATAAGAGGTGAAATTCGTATTGTAGCTTTAGTGTCAAAGTATAGAATTATTGAATTCAATACATTGTTATTGTATGGATGGGGGGGGCGACGAGAAAGATGATTGAATAGTGGGTCGTGTATATTGAAAGTTTGAGAAGCACTACACTAAAGAGTAATTAAGGGCATCAGCTGATATGCAGGTAGATATGCACCTGATACATTATAGGGTTTTTTAAAGACGTAGTTACAGCAGCGTTTCTCAAAAATGTGAGGCGCGCCCTCTTGGGGGGCGTGATAACTGTACGAGGGTGGCGCGAGTGTATTGAAAAGTCGAAAACAAAAGATTATTTTAAAAAATTACTAATTCACCGAAAACTCTCTCTGACATAATAAAAAATAAAATGAATATTTATACTTTTATAATACATTTATAAATGCATCAACACTGCACAATGTGTTTTATAGTGTTTTATGTGGTTAAGAACAAGTTTAATAATTAACCAGCGTCCCATAAGCTTGTCATACATAAAATATACAAAAATTAATACTTATCTTGATAATTAATCATTTAACTGTCGATCAAAAGTTACACGATTCACTCCACAATGCCACCGTTTCCACGTAAGTGCGCATGTGTGATGTAAGTGGAGGGGGAGGGATAAATATGCAAGTCATCTGAAATAAGTAAATCCTTCGCCAACACTGTCAAGTTCCTTTTAATACGTTCCAAAGCCTTCGGGATAATTTTACGGATAGCACTGCACTGTAAAGATAGTTCTTCGGAAAGACGTATATACACGTCTGGGGCAATTAACGCTTTGGCTTGATTGCCCCAGGGGGTGCGATAAAAATTATGGTTGAATATTGGGTCACCAACATTGAAAGTTTGAGAAGCACTGAGTTAGAGCGAAAGTGAAATCCCACTTTCGACAGGTATCTCTCTTTGTGGTCACTCTGATTTAACATGTAATTTTGTATGTGAAGAACGACGAAAATATTAGAATTCGTAAATGAGTAACACATGTTGGTACAGGTTTCGCGTAAGAATGCCCACCTGACAGAAACATCTGTTCCTGCTTCTTAGCGCACAGGATCAGGAAAATTCAGATGGGTCTAGTGATCCTCTACCCGTCATGGGCTGTTGCGGCTCTGAGAGATTACTCTGTTACTTATTAATAAAGTGTATTATCCTACACTAAAAAATAGCAAGAAATTATTCCCTTACAAATATTTATCTTTTAAGCCCCGTATCAAAAATATAATGTAGAAAGACTCACGTATTTCTTGTTGGAGTGTAATGACATCTGGATTTGCTCGTGGAAACTTATTAAGATGGAATTTATTTGACAAAAAGTAACTCAGCTTATCGAATGCTGGTTGCTCTAAATCCTTTCTAGTAAGAATTCTATTATTCTCAGCCGTTTTTACCGTAATAATCTAACGTAAACGCGGGACATTCAGATAATTTCTGAAAAAAAAGTTACACTCTCATGGAGAAATTAAGAGCCGGTTAGCGTGTGATGGAACTAAGTGTATCAACAAACAGATCATATAAAATCAAAACAGGATCTTATTTAAGGAAAAAAATGTTAAAATTCTTTTATGCATTTTTTAAATATAGCTAAGAAAACAGGAAACTATATAAACATTTCCAAGAATATACAAGTTTGGAAAGTAAATAATATTGGTTAATGCATTAAGCGATTAAATGAGAAAATAAAAACTATCAAAAAAAATTTTTGTGACTCTATCTTGTGAAACTCTGTAGAAAAAGAAATAAAAACCAGTATGAAATAATAATAATAAACATACTTTAATAAAACCTTAAAGAAAGTCAATCATATCGAATTTATTAGAAATATATGTTTAAAGAAAATTAAATCAAAATCATCATCTGAATTATAATTAGTAGATTTTTACCTTAAGCAATTATTCTATATTATTATTAATTGAAGTACCTACGTCAGCGTTTCTCAAACTGTGGGGTGCGCCCCCTAGGGGGATGTGATAACCTTACAAGGGGGGGCTGGTATATCGAAAAGTTGAAAACAAAAGATTATTAATTTATTGAAAGGAAACAAAACAAAATACATTCTGATATAATAAAAAATAAATACACATTTACATTGATATAATACACTTATAAATGTAACAGTACTGTGCAATGTATATTTTATAATTAATTTAACAATACAAAGTTAAGAACAAGTTTAATAATTACCAGTGATTCTAAGGGTATGTCATAAAATTATATATAAAGTTTATTACTTGATAATCTGTATGGTTTATATAATTAAAGTCGTATTGTAGCTTTACTTCAAAATATATTATTATTCAATTCAATATATTGCTATTCTATGGAGGAGGCACAATGAAAATTATGATTGAAAATTGGTCGCAAGTATAGAAAATATGAGAACCCTGACCTACGTTAATACCTTAAATATAATTATAACAAACATTAAGATGACACAGTACGATTCAATTAAATAAAATCGGTCAAAAAATCTAATCTAATTTTTTTAGCCAAGTTTATTATTTATATTATTACGTAGATCCCCGAGGGTTCGAGGATTTTATGCAAAAGCAATCACAAAGAAAATATGCAGTTCTTTAAGAGAGATGCGAATTTATTAACAAAAATCCAATCCTTTCAATACAGGGTTCATCGACAATATTCTCAGGGTAAATATCCGAAGGTCTCGACACCTTCAACATCAATCAAACACAATAAAAAGTGTTTAAAATACACATAAGTGAAGCTTATTCACAAACACAGCCGAGCTAATCGCTAGGCAAACAATCCTCACTACTCGCTGGCTTAATCAAGACTCCTCGCCGTACCGGCGAAGCATCCTTTTTATATGCGCGACAGAAACTTCTAGAAATATAACCGCTCGTGTCATTGAACGTGACACTAGTTGAGAGATCTACTACTTTCTAAAAGATTCCAGAGGGTTCCGAGCTCGCCAACATGGTCGCCAATTACGCCAAAATGGTCACCAAAGTCGCCAAGTTGGCCCCAACTTGGTCGCCAAAAATGATGCCAACTTCTTGGCCCTACCGCCAAGATTCCGCCAAGTTACCATTGAAACGCCATTATAGCGTAAGGGGAGGCACTGCTTGTGAATAGTACAATTTTAACATGATATAAATATAACATATAGTTATATAAATGCATTAAACACTCAAATACAAATTATTTATACTATATACACAAAATTCGTAACAATATACTTTTGTATAACTCACAAAATTTTAAAGATCTAAACTTAAAAAAAGCAGAATTATACGATAGCTTTTAAGTTTGTTTTTATTCACATCCCTACGACAAATCAAAACTTTAAACTTAGTAATCTCAGAAAGATAAAATAACTACTTTGTCTTGATTTAAAATGCTAAAAGGATTTTTTTCTATTGTGCATAATTCTTTGAATTTTTTTTTTACCTTTTGCTAATAGTACACGTAACAAAAGTTGGTAATCATTTTGGAATCAAAGCAATACATATCTTTTAAAAATAGTTGAACTCAGAATTTAAACATTGTTTAAGGAATTTTCAATAAGCATTCATAAAAGAAAAATTGTACTAATACCAAACGTGTTATCACAAAAGCCATACCAACTTTTGTTATACATTGTTTGACATACTTGTAAATTATATTTCATGCATGTACGTAATTTTTTGTAGGGGAAAGGTAGCATTTTAAAATTACTTCACAGATTTTAAGTGTTTTCCTTAATAAATTAAATGGCTAGCTTTTCATGAAATTTTGAGCATAAAATCGGAGGTAACGCATAGGAGGTAACCAAAAAAATTTTGAAAATCCTTAAATTAAAAAAAATTGTGTAAATCGTGCCATGCTCCTTTAAATTGTGTGTATTATACAATACAATTTAAATAAATAAATAAACTGAACTTCATTTACTTCACATAATTCTTTCGTTATTTGATCTTTGTGTGTGTGTGTGTGAAGAAAAAATACTTAACAGTTTTTTCTTAAATTATTTTTAAGATGATATTAATGTTTTCTTTTAAAGAATAAATGACATAATCTGTTTCTTTAAACGTTCTCTAAAAGAAAAATAAATATATAAAAAGCGAAGAGGAGAAACGCAGAGTTGAGCAAAATTAAGATATCTTATGTATTTTATTGACTTTTTTTTCGTAACTATTTTCAAATATTTTGTTAAGATTTATTTGTCGTTGACTTACCTGAAGATTCTTTGCAATACACACAAATTCGGTTTCAATTTACAGACTCCCATGAGATTAATTTAAAAAAAAATATCTAGCAAGAATTTCCGACTTCCCTACTTCCTCCTTTATTTGTCTGGTTTCACAGAAGTATGTTTGCCTGATCTGGAGAAAAAAAATGTAGGAAAATATTTAAAGCACAAATTCTTTCACTGAAGAGTTTTACTTTTATCTCTTTTCTCTGTATTTTTACAGTTAAAGATACATTTTTACGTTATTTTAACTGGCAGAGATAACCGCAAGCGACCATTTTTCTCTCCACATTTGTAATTGAATCTTGCATGTGTAAATTGTACATTTCTCCTGCCCAACGCAAGTAATTTTTTCTTGTATAACCCCAACGTCATTCCGTGCTGAATATACCAGTTCTTTTCTGATCACTGAAGTTAAGCATCATGGGGCATGGTCTGTACTTAGGAGGCCGATCATCTGGGAACACCGAGTGCCGTTGGAATTTTTTGCCGCCTCTGTGGCGTACTTGGTTTGTTACCGGCCTTTTACACCTAAGGTTGCGGCTTCAATTTCTGCTCAAGTTGGTCGATTTTCATGATACTGGAAATCGACAACGTCCATGCTGTATGATTACCCCAGATTACAAACAGGTTTCTTGAAACTTTCCCCGGCGCTCCAAATCTTCGCAAACGCTTGCCCACTCTTTTCGTCTGGCATATCATCCTCTAGATCAGGTGCGTCCAACACGCGGCCTGTCATTACGTAAGTTGCGGCCCACCGACTCTAAAAATTTTATAAATATCAGGTTTTTAAACTTTTTTCATTTTGAAATATAAGCGAGAGGAAATTTATATATATATATATATATATATATATAAATAAAATATATATATATATATATATATATATATATATATATATATATATAAAAAGAAATATGTATTATTTATCAAAAACAAGAAATAATAGATAAAGAACATAACAAGAAATAGCATAATAAAAATATAAAAGCTGAACATGAAGAACAAAATTATAGAGAAATAAAAGAACTACAAAAAAGCAGAACCTAGCGAGTCAGAAAGCAATTTCGGACTTAGGACCGAATAAGTGGGGTTAAACTAGTTTAAAGGCGCCAACCTTCCCCCTTTGCAACTCGGTAGGAAAACCAAATAAAATAAAATAAACAAAACTTCAGGTATGGATAACTCAGAGCATGATAAAACCAATCACTACTATTATGTAACAAACTCTCCCAAAACTCTTAATGCAGAAAAAAATCACAAAATCACAAAATAATTATGAAAGAAAAGTAGAAAAATGCTAAAATAATTAAATAAGAAAAGTATCATTCAAAAATTAATTTAACAAAATTTCTGTACTCACAAAACTTTTACGAAGAGAAACAAGCATCTTGCCATTAATGAAAGTCAATTATTCACTAAGTTAAAAAATTCGAAAATACATAACCACATCTTTTGAGCTGACTTTTATACCAGCCAGAAAAGACAAGTATAAAATGACGACAATCAAATATGGTAAAATTTGAATTGGTTGATTGTATATATATATATATATATATATATATATATATATATATATATATATATATATATATATATATATATATATATATATATATAAATCTACAATGTATTTATATGTTACATGTTCTTTCTGATAATAGAAATATCCTTTAGATTAAAATAGATTTATATTTTATCAAACAGTTACATTTGATTTTACGATGATAAATTCCTTTTTTAAGAAAATCTGAAATTGATTATGCATATCCTTTACTATGGATGGTACATGATTCTCTGTGGGTACGACTTTCATTTCTCCTCCTCCTTTTCTGTTTGGAGAGCTCAAAAAGCAAGAGGAAGTCAGAGAGAGAGATATGTTTTTTTTAAAGTTTAAAAAATATTCAGAATGGTTAAGATAAAAGGCAATGTATATTTAATCGTTTGCGAATGACAGCACAATCAAATTTCAACAATGAGTAACGGAAGATCAATTGAAAAGGAACACATAACAACACACAGTAATATTTTAAACATTATTTGATCATTGCATTATTATATTATCTATGCCTGTGTACATGAAAAATATTGAAAACAATAATAATAATTCATTCTGTTTTAAATTTTCACTCCAATAAATGTTTTTTTGCTTCCAAATTTGATATAATGGTACATATTGTTATATGCAGCCCGCAAGATTGTAATGTTTTTCCGAAGTGGCCCACAAGGTCATTTGGGTTGGACACCCCTGCTCTGGAGGGCAACTATTAGATCGATTTTCCACAAGTGAACGTGGATTACAACCCCCTGTTCTATTCTGATTTGTCGTTTCCCCATGCTGTCTACTATCTCCCCTGTAAATTTTTCGGTTGGCTTTGACAAAAATCCTGTATAAGGTATGATAATGAATTACGCCTTAAATGATGTGATGTTTAGTATCTAGTTGTTATACAGGAACTCTACAATTTAGATACAAACTTGTCTTAGAGAAGCAAATACAGATGTTTTCCTGGTGCTAGAACTTGTGCAATCTAAGCTCAGAGCTGTTTGCGAAAGTTAAGAGAGTATTTATTGCTTTGGATCGTGTTAAAATAGTTAATTTTGCTCCACTTGCATGTTTACTTTTGAGGTATCCAAGGCTGAGGGCAGGATGGTAAAGTAAAAGATTTTTATAATATTTTCCCAGCACTCATCACAAAATACTGGTACAAACTCTGATTTGACTTAGTTCTCATATGTTTATATGTTTATCTCTCTTTTGGAAAATTAAACATATTATGAGATTAAGCATTAAGAAAAAACATACAAATTGCGCATCACTAAAAGTATTTGACATTTACTTCCGTAAATGGATCATTTAGCAATTAATAAGACAAAAGGAGATTTATTTCTTATAAAAAAAAGGTTTAAACTTTGCTAATTTTCTTTCGAAAAAAGATTTTGAAATTTTTCTATGAGGTTATAAAATTTCAGGTTACGCTGTATTGAACATTAAATTTGTTTTGTTAAATTAAAAATAACATATTTATAGTTTTATAACTTTATAAACTTTACGGAGGGTAAAACAATCAACTAGTAGATCAGAGGATTGTAGAGCAAGGTAGTCAACACTCGTGTTTATTTATGTGTAAACTCAACATCCTTTGTATTTCCGTAAGATTTTTAACACATTTATATTAAATTTAAAGGTATATTTCCTGGAAAAAAATGGTTGTGAAAACTTTAAACACACTACTTCATTTATATATCAAAACAATTTAAGAATATGAAATAATAACATACACAATTTTAGAATATTTTAAAAATAAATTATTTCGAATTTTATCTAAATACTTATAAAAAATCAGTTAGGTTTTGCTGAATGTCTTATAATGAACACGGCGTCTTCTAAGATTAATTTAATAAAGCATAACTTTTAAAGATATCTTAGGAACTAAAAATGTACCGATTTAATTTTTTTTATCAAATAATTGGTTAAATGTAACAAACGAGCATATAAGAAATTTATTTTGAGTAATCCAAACGAATTTTCAAGCATTTGTCTAGTCATCATTGCAATTAATAAATTGATAAATAAATACTAATCAATAAAGCAATAATCAATAAATTATGTGTTGAAATTTTAATTAATTTTAATTAGATCTCTCAAACAATAAATTAAATCATTATGTGTATATGCGTATTAATAAAAAATAAATGTGAGAATTTTTTTATAAATTTGAGAATAAATGTAAAATGAAACATTGAAATTTTGATTTAAGTTAGAAATAAAGCTTATGTTTATTTTTCCTATTTGTTTCATAGTGAGGTTAACAGAAATATGCATAAGGATGTTTTATAAAACATTGTTAAATCCTTAACGGGTGATAATACTCATACAAATAAGCAAGTTTTAACAAATAGTGAATGGTTTTCCCTGCAACACAAAAATGCAAGAATGAACCGATGTCTGTGTTGTTATTCGTAACAAACACTCTCAAAGAACGATTTAAGTTTCAAAAGCATATTTAATAACATTTGACTAGAATAAACTTTCAAATTAGTCGTCAATGGTAGTTATGGATACGGTAGAACGTCGCAGAAAAGATTGTTTAACACTGTGAAAATAAAGGGTGTTTTTTTAGAGGTATAGAACTTTAAATTGCAATAAAACAACGATGTATTATTCGATTGACATGAATTTTTTTATTCGAAAGATAATCTTGTGGCATTACATTTTAAATATGATTTCTGGCATATGACTGCCACGGCTGGCTCGGATATAGTCCAATCTGGACGTCCAATTTTCGATGACTTTTTCCAACATTTGTGGCCGTTTATCGGCAATAACACGGCAAATGTTGTCTTCCAAATGGTCAAGCGTTTGTGGCTTATCCGCATAGAGCAATGACTTTACATAGCCCCACAGAAAATAGTCTAGCGGTGTTAAATCACAAGATCTTGGAGGCCAATTCACAGGTCCACAACGTGAAATTAGGCGGCCACCAAACGTGTCTTTCAATAAATCGATTGTGGCACGAGCTGTGTGACATGTTGCGCCGTCTTGTTGGAACCACAGCTCCTGGACATCATGATTGTTCAATTCAGGAATGAAAAAGTTAGTAATCATGGCTCTATACCGATAACCATTGACTGTAACGTTGTGGCCTTCATCGTTTTTTGAAGAAGGATTCCACCAGCCCATAAAGCGCACCAAACAGTCAGTTTTCTGGATGTAACGGTGTTTCATCATACACTTGTGGATTAGCTTCACTCCAAATGCGGCAGTTTTGTTTGTTGACGTAGCCATTCAACCAGAAGTGCGCTTCATCGCTAAACAAAATTCGCTTATGAAAATCGGGAACAACGGCAATCTCGTTTTGGGCCCATTCGATGAATCTACGCCTTGCTTGATGATCTTTTTGATGAATTGCCAAACCAAACTGAGAATAAATCACTTGACAGCTATTAAATCGGTCGCCATCTTGGAAAGTAATGCCAACTTAAACTTCTATACCTGGAAAAAAACACTCTTTATAAGCAGGAACAGAGGCCAATGAAATTAAGGGGGAACTGTGGGCTTAGAATCCCGTCAACGAACTACTTTGTTATAAGAGTTTTATGGAACTTTATTTAAAGTGTGGAGCTCATGTGAAAGAAATGATATCTAATGCCTTATTTCTTGATTGTCGGGGTTTGTGTGGATTGACGAAATCAGTCAGGTATGTATCTCCACACAGACACAGTACTCAGTTTCCACAGTCTCCAGACATATTACTCAGTTTCCACAGTCTCTAGACATGTTACTCAGTTACTATAAGTATTCAGAAAGAAACATAACAATGTTGAAGCCATAATACGATGTGCTTCAGGAAAAGACAATCTATATAATTATTTTCATTACCTGTCAGAGGGACCTACCTCGAACCCGTCCCCGGAGCGAAGCACTCCTTACGCACATTTCCCGATGCGTCTCTCGACGCAGGGATTCGCTTCAC